TGCGCGGAGCGGGGAGCGCCGCCGGGGAGGCCGGGCGGAGGGGCCCGGCGCCCCCGCGGTTTCTGCCGCCCTCCCTCCCCGAGGGCTTGCGCCTCGTCCGGCGCAGGAGTTGCTTCGGGGCCATCCGGGGCTTCTGGGTGCGCGCGAGTCTCCTCAGCCGACGCCGGTTGTCCCCGGCCTCGGCCCGCCGAGCTGTCACCCCAGCGAGCGTCATCGTCATCGTCGGGCGGTTCTTAGCAGCGCAGGTGTCACCCCCGAACAGCCCTCTTCCTGGACGGGAGGGTGGCCGTGCCCTCCTTCCCAGAGCTGCTGGCATGTGGGCATGTTTGCGGCCGGGCGACCCCAGCCATGTTTTAGGGATAGCGAATCCCCAAAAGGAGATAATGGGGAACATACGTACAGGAAATGAAAACGACCGACTAACGTGAACGCCAGGCTGAGGCTTGGATGTCCTCAAATGCGGGGCGGCACATTCGTCGCCCAGATGACCAAGAAATGCGAACAGGTAATGATTTTGAAAGACCATGGGGCAAAATCGCAGCGGGGCCGCTGGCAGAGACCTGTAACAAGGTTACCACTCCCCTTCTGTTGGCCTCACTGCACAAATGGGAAGGTTCTCATGGAACATCTCCACTGAGAGGTTTCAGGCCCCAGATGCAAGCGTATATGATGTCAGACAGCAGCAGCACAAGAGGCTGAATAAAATCCACCCTACGGTATCCTAGAGACGTGGACAAGGTATTCTTCTGGAAAGTGTGTCACAGGCTGAAGGGAATTAAAACAATTTTACGTTAATATGTTCAATAACTACCGTTGACATTATCGTAAGTACATACACATTAAGATGTGAGTAACAAGTGTTTTGAAAGGTACTTTTTATACATGCTCTTTCACTGTTGATACGTGACCTGAATTTCCACAAACCATGAGAAATCTGGGTCCTCTTGCATGAGCAAGATTATATTACAGCTATCACGAACCACACTTGGAAAAGCATCAGTAAGATAGTCTCTTAAAAGAACATTGGTCTGCACCTGAAGAGGAAAAATGTATCACGATGTCCATAGATTACCATGTTATCTAGGGTAGTATATAATCCACAAATGACCAGGTTGATCTTAGAAAATATACCGTCCAAAAATGACCAGGTTATTTGAGAACACTCTGTCCAGAAGATGAACAAGTCATTTAAGAGACAATAATATTATTGATGGATAGTGCACAGAATGGGCGCATATGGAAACACAGAAAAAAATAAATCTCCTGTGGGAAACTCAAGTATACTTGCCTGTAGAAGGGACTACTTAATTTACCTGTTATCAAAGTTGACCCCAAGTAATAGCGTAGGTAGAGACACATGAAGATTGGAAATATATAAGACTCTAGCAAGCTTACACAACTCTCAAGTTGTGTAAGGTGCTGTGTTCCTTCAGCACTGGATATGCAGCACCCATCGGTCTGACAGGCTGCATGTACTGTACTGCTGCTTATGTAAGTGCTGTTTTGTTATCACTACAGGGAGCTGTGTTCCGTTACCTATTCTCAGGTTTTCTAGGTTGTATTCAGTCTGGTAACCCCCTCTCCAGCTTTGGTGTGACTGTTTAATCTGGATGCAACAACTGGAAACAAGCAGAATGAAGTCTTAACCTTTCTTTGATTCAGACTTTTGAGTCTAAAGGTCTCAGATCTTGTAACATCAAAAAATCTACAGAGAAATACTATTAGCAATTTAAACTAAAGCATAGTTTATTTATATATATTTATAAAAACACATAAAAATTGTTGGGGTTTTTCTTCTATTTGGAATTCCCCAATAGGAGCAAAATTACGCTAAAGATAATTATTTATGAAATTAAAATCAGCTTGTATTAACCACAGAGCTGCCATTGGTGTCCTCACTCAGGAAAACACTCATACTGAATTCAGAGTACAGCTAATTGCTTTGGCTTACGGGTCAGCATGACTTAATTCGTGATTGCAAGTAGTGGCATAGCACTTAAGGTGCCCTAGTACTTTTTATTCTGAAGTTGTTTCCTGTTGCTTATAACTGCAAAAAAATACCACTTTGGGCTAAGATTTTCTAAGATGTGTGGTGAAGTATAGCCTGATACTGATATACTTCAAGGTATAGATTGAAGTTGTAATTGCAAGAAACAAAAAGCTCCATAATATTTTGCACCCTCTGAGGTAAGGCTCAAAACTTCATTTCTAGTTTGTGACCTGATCTGTATAACTGGCTTTTAGCTGTGGTTTTGCTGCTTCTGCATCATGCCAAATCAAAGAAGTTCTTTGCCCAAGTGTACAAAATCAGAAGATTTCATTATGTTGCAGTTCTTTTAATAACAGCATGGCATTTTTTTGCTGATCAAAAATACAATAGTGAACTGGGCTTCTTCCTCTCTGCTGTTGTCTGATGAGTAGTCAAAAATTGAACGTGATGAAAAGTGGCCTTGGCTAATGAAGAAATACAAATTACGGGATAATATAGAAGGAATCATAGACACTTAACACCATGTCTGCAAGTTCCGATAGGTTTTAGCAGCAAAACAACTTACCAGATACTGAATAAGATGAGTTTGCCCAAAATAGCACACGTATCATTTTTTACCTTGATCCACAAAAATCACTTTAGACAGAGTACTACTGCTGCATGCATGTAGCTAAACAAGCACCTTTCCTTCCTCCCACACTGAAAAATACATCTCACATATATATTCGCTGTCTTAGGCATTTCTTCACAGTTCAGGGAATATTTTGGTCTAAAACCTACATATATATTCAGGATATATGGGATTTATTTTACAAAGGTGGAAAAAAATCAGAGTTGTATCACACATGGAATTCAACGTTAACTTACTTTTTATCCTTCAGAGAGAGACTTGTTCATGATGTGTTTAGAAAGAGAGCTTGGCATTCCAGGAAAAAGAGAGGAGAACGTGGTGCTTCAGTGTGGGTCTGGCCTTGGCAGAGCAAGAAGCAACTGCTTCACTTGCAGACAGGATACCAGTGTGCTTCTCTGCAATGTGACCTAACCCACACCTGCAGGAAATCAGTTGGAACAGCTCTTTCAAACAGGCAAGCTCAAGACGTACAACTCCTCACAGGAAGAACAGTTTTTCACCTCCAAAGTTCACAAATGGCTTGTAACAACTTAATGCGTATTGGTGTACTCGAGCATCAGGTGGCAGGTCTGGCTGACGCTCTGCAGATTCTGTCATTCAAAATGAAACCGTTTGCTGAAAGATGCTGATAACGTCCTTAAAGTGTAATAGCATCAGTGTGGCACGTT